AAGCACTTTCAAGACTAGGTGCTCCATTCTCAGGACCTGTTTCTTGGTATAGGTATCATCTGTAATGTACACAAACTCTGCTACTTCTGGGGGATGTATTTCTTCAAACTTTGAGGCCAACAGCATAGCAGCAGAGCCCACAAGCTGAAGTTTTCCTCTCAACACAGACATCGATGAAAGGAACCTATCAATGTAGTTCACAGCCAAGTGCAGGGTCTCATTCTGTAGTTTATATTCTTCTCCTACTTCAACTAACCAGTCCACAAGGATAGCCCTCATACTGTTAGTGATGTCTGGCTGTTTCTTCATGTAACCCACTTTAGGCTTACATTTAACCTGTTGAGAAAGTTACGTACTATAATGTTAAAATTGCAATTAGATTATTCTACCATTAACAAAGATGCTACATACCAGAAACATAAGTATAACATTAGAATAATTCACTAGCAGTTAAAGAACTTAAAAACATCCTGTTTCATTTTGCCACAAGGAATAAACAACAGTATAAGAAAAGGATTCCAAGAGCTCTTACCTCCATTTCCCTAAGGTATGTGTGAATGTCCTCATGGTAGTCTGGGACTTCATTGACACTCAGTGGCTTTTCATCTTCTAATACAATTGATATGTCCATAGTATGTGGTGACTCTGGGAGAATATAAAAGTATGATTAAGTTCATCGTTTTATTTTCTAATTAATTTAATAGCCAAAACTGATAGCCCTTGTAAGGCGTCCCATACAAAAGCATTTCTTTCATCCAACTAAAAAAGGGCTTCTTATGACAAAGTACATAGAATATTTTACTCTGGTTTTTGTACCTCTGTCCACTTGCTTTTAATCAACAAGAGAAAATACTGATAGACCACTAAAAGGAAAGTGCATTTGAAGATGTATTATGTTATTAAAGTATCACTCATATTCTATGAGAGAGAAGAGCAGATGGCACAGTGATCCTGTGAAGACAAGACAGAGTTAAAATCCAAGTTTTGTGATATTATGTAGTATTTACCCTAAGAGATTTTGCAGACCCCAAAGTCTGATAAATTCAAAGTACAATGTAGCAATAACTAGAAGGAGGGCTAACGTGTCAATGAAAATTAGGTTTGTTATGAGTTCAAACAATTTGGAACTACAATCAACAAGTGTTTCATGTTTTGTAATTTTAAATTACCTTTTGAGGCAAAGAATATCATTCGTTACTCTTTTCACTTCAAGGTTCATCTTGAGGTTAAAACTTGTTACAAATTTTCAATAAAAATACAAAAATTATTTTATTTCCAAAGGATTTTCCTGCTATTCCCAGACCACTTCTCATAATAGAACTAAAACCTAAATGAGATTGAACTTTATGAGTTGTCAGTGACTCCAGACCTATGGTAAAGAAGTTGCACAAACTGTTGGCAGAGCTGTCTTTATAGCAGCTACTTTATTTTATATGTCGTTAACTGCAAACAGCCATGATTCAACTCTTCATTCACAGGACAGTGTCCCTTTTTGGTATCAGACTAGATTTACAGAAAATTTTAAAGCTGTAAGAGATGTTAGATATCACAATACTGAAAACTGTGTCCTATTCAAATACTATGAAGTGGTATGTACAAAGTGAGTTTTATCAGTACAATTGAAATCTATTCTCCCAAGCAAGCAAAGTGTTTGAGATCTAATTAAACTGATGTTATCGGCAGTATACAAGAAGGAAGGAGCACCCAATTAGGATTTATAGGTCACTAGGTCAATGTATTAGCTGTGAAATCTGAGATAAGTCACACACTTTCTAAACTTTGTTACATTAAACCAATTTCATTATGTAGTAAGGATCAGGTACCATGTCTTAAAATGCAAAATATCATTAATTCAGCCTATTTAATAATTATGATTACATTGATTTGATACAAATCTTACAAATTTTGATACAAAACTTACCAAAACTACCATCCATTGGATAATCAAGAGGTACCAGTGGTTTTCTTGGTCCAGGTAAAGTAATAGCTGAATTAAAAGCGAGGACATTTTCATGTTCTGTTTTTTTAGATTCAGGTGGCCTCTTTTGAGTCTCTTCTTCTGCTTCATCCACATGAATGGTAAATGCAGGCTGTTTACTGTTTGTTTTCCAGGGAGGAATAGTGACATGTTCATCATTTATAGGAAGATCCTTAAGAGGTGCAACCTAAAAAGAAATGAATATCTGGCTTTGAGCCTATTAAATGGAGTTTTGCTTTCTTCCCCTTATGGGTCTCAGTTTCTGCTTTCACTCCCAAATACTCTCAGGAAATAAAACTATCTGGGACAAAATCCAGGCAACAAAGTTTGAGTGGCTGAAGAAAGGGATGTTCAAATTCCTTACAGGCATTCCTACATAAGTTATAGAAAGAATCACACTAAGTGAAAGTATATAAAACTAATCAAGGCTACAAGATGAGTGGAGTGGCAGGCTGAAAGATGACAAGTTTAGGAGAGCAGGCAAAGAGGTGTTGGTTCACCACTTTCGCCCCAGGGTGGAGCAACAGAGCAAATCCGGTAAAATGGCGGAATTTACTAAAAGTAAAGTATTTTTTATACCCTTTCCTAAAATAGAGGTAATCTTAACCATATGGAAAGCAGGAAGCGGGTCCAGATCCTAGGGCAGTGCCTAAGGTTTAAAGCGGCGAGAAAAGCGCGGACACACGTAGGGCTTGCTTTGACCTCATTATCTATAGAAAAATATCCCCAATAAAGAGCAGACAAGCAGCAAAACACAGCGCTGGCGAAGAGAGCAATGCGAGAGAAGCTGTAAGTGGCATCCCACATGCCAGAAAACTAGGGATCAAGGAGACTCCAGACCCAGGCCTCCCTTAAAAAAGCTCGGAAGATGCTTTCTCTCCACGCTCCTCGGCCTGCTAAACCTCGTGCAAAAGTCCCGCTCGGCCCTCCCTCCCACAGATATCGCTCATCTCTTTACCCGTCGTGTCTTGGGCCTCTGCTGCGGCGCTGGAACGCGCGGGTTCCCGGTCTTCAGTACCGCCAGCCCCGCCCGGGTCCGGGGCTGCTGGGCGGGCGCCGCCTTCTCGGGGTTGATGTTCTCCTGGTCCTCTTGGAGCGCCGTATGCTGCAATGTTAGCAGCGACGAGCCCGCCTCGCGGGCCGCAGGCCCGGGCTCGGAGCTGCCCAACATCACTGCTCCCGGGGTCGCGGCGGGATCAGCCTGCGGCGCCAAGCAGCGTGTACTCCGTCCCGCCGACACCGCCGAGAAACACTCCAGCCGTAACCAGCCGCCGCAGCCCGGGCCAGCCTGCTCGCTCGGGATCGCGCAGTTCCGAAAAGGTTGCGAAAGGCGTAGGTAGGAACTGCCGGGCGTGGAAGGCTAAAGAAGCCCCCGAGATGCAGCGAGCAGCCCGCCGGAGCGGCGGCTGTTCGTGCAGTTCAAGTATCCCGCGACTATTGAAATGGGCCAATGGGAACGGCCGACGCCCGTGACGTCACTCGAGGCGACACGGTCGCAGGCGAATGAAGGCGGCCGCAAAGGCCACGGAGCAGGGGCGGAGAAACACCGAACGGCGGCGGGAGGAAAAACGCCTGCGCCGGCCGAAGAGGTGGGGCCTGAGCTTCTGGCGACTAAACTGGGCCACTAGGTGATCCCTAGGCACTGGGCAAGGGCCGTCTCTAGGATAAGCTGAGTTAAACTTCAGCAATTGTTAGTGTGCCGCCCTAGCCTAACGTTAGCCCTGGGACCTTCAGTTAGCTTAACTGGTTTCCAAAGCTCTAAAATCTGAGCCACTAACTGGCCTGATAGTCTTGCTCCGGTTATTCAAGGTCTCTGATTCTCAGTTTTCTTATCTATTAATTGGGAGTAAAAATATCTCCATGTCATATGGTTGTCATGATTATATAATGTGCATAAATCATTAACACGCTGCTCACGTAGTAACTGATACTCAAGTGCCAGACTATAATGTCATCTCACCATTTAGGTGTCTTCAGTCATGCCTTTGAATTTACCTAATGAAGATGCAATTAGGGAAGGTGCCACCTTGAACCACTGTTGATATATATAGAGAGATTATCTATCTATCTATCTATCTATCTAAAACAAAAAGTAATGTACTATAAGAAAACTAGACAGTCACTGATTTTGATGCATCTTTCCCCAAGCTGTGGCAGCCAACAAAAAACACCCAGTGAAATTCTAGTGACCTAGATAAAATTATTTGTTCCATTTAGCAATGAAGGTTGTTTAAACATAATAAAAACAATGTGACCTTATTAAAATAAAACTCTCAGTGATATGTGCCTTCAACAAATTTTCAAATTTAATATACAAGGCTTGCATATAATAAATATAATGGTAGATAATTAAGAAACATTGTTTTTGACAAATTCATGAGTGTGCCCTTCTTGAAAACATAATTATATAATCTTTATGTCATTTTAAAACAACCTTTAAATACAATATTCCCCTGAATATGAAAAAACATAAATTAAGATTAATGAATAAAACTTCTGTAGCTTTAAAGTCTTATTTCCCTCCATACATGATAAAATGGAAATTAGTGGGTACTAGTGCAGGAAAATCTAAGGAGCCATCACTTTTTCTGCACTCTTCACATGTAGTACACTTGTACAGTTTTACTGGTTACAGGGACAGCAAGTGAAGATCCCTTCAATCTGTGCAAGCTCTGCTCATTTCCCTGGCCACAATTTATAGCACTGAACCAACTCAAGCATTTCACAAACTGAGCATGGTTCATGAAACATTACCTAGCAAGAGTGAAATCAGTTGCAAATCAATCTCAACTCCGAGAAAAAATAATTGGTAAGTTATTTCCACTGGTTAACAACGTATACAGTAACCAGGACACAAACCAGGCACCAGAACTTGGGATCTGGTCCCAGCTTTACAAAATAATAACAGCTTGTCCTCTTAATCACTTAACCTCACAGAGAAGTTTTCCTATATGACTTGACAAAATAACAATATATATTGTGAAGATAAGATGAAGTAATGAATGTAAATACATTTTTGAAAACTGTAAAGCAGTCTATACATGTGCGAACAGCTTGTTAAATATTCGAATATATTTTTAATTTTCCAAATATTTCTCAATTTAAAAGTTAAAACATCCACTTGCAAAAAATTCATTAAAATTCTTTATCATCACTCCACTTGTTTTAAAATAAAACTCTCTTTAAAAAAGCTCCATTTCTCAAAATAGAAGCATTACTAAAAGAAGTCACATCCTAAATATTTTTAGACGACATTAAAAAGCATTTCAAATAAAAGTTTGTACAGTTAGCTTGTGCCGTAATTCTGTTTTAACATATTTCGTTTAAAAAGACTCCTTTGGAACTTTACCTTGTTTATAGTTCATGCAGCATCAAAGAAAGCAATCAATGCATTTTGATCATAACTGTCCAGAATCTCCAGCAAAAGAGGTACTTTGGTTTTTACATTGGTGCCTTTGAACTTGAACTTATCTATGAAAAGATCAGTGATCATGCCTATAAAGAAAAATGTTAATTTCCTGTCATTGATTAGTTCTAATAACACAGTACTTAATGAAAGTGAGTGATTACTTGAGAATCTACTTCTGAGCACTCATCACTGCATTATTTAATATATAAGCCTAAGGGTATTGATACTTTTTTTTAAAGATTTTATTTATTTATTTGAGAGAGAGAGCACAGAGGGAGCGTGTGAGGGAGAAGCAGACTCCCCCCAGGGTGAGGAGGGAGCCTGATGCAGGACTGGATCCCAGGATCCTGAGATCATGACCTGAGCCAAAGACAGACAGATGCTTAACTGACAGCCACCCAGGCGCTCCAACAGATTCTGTTCTTAAGTTCTATTTGAATTAAAATATTCCATCAATATGTTGACCATTCTTGGGATTTATCCAAAACATGTTTCAGAATTTTTCATATTTTAGAGAGATAATAAAAGGGATACACCAAATATAGCATAATATCCAAGGGGAATGAGTTTCTGCAACAAAATATATGGGTGAATATTCACACTAAGTGTAATAAAAATAACTATAAATAACCTCATGTCAGTTTAAGTGAAATTTTGTCATTAAATTATTAATTCAGATCAAGTCAAATTTGCTGCCAAATAATTTATGAAAGTTTTAGTTTTTAAAGCTTTCTGGATTTTGGAACTGGTAATAATAGAAAACCACCCATCTTCTAAGTTATTATAAGGATAAAAGATCATGTGTTTTCCATATAGTAAATATTAAGATATTAGATATTATTGTTATGGTTTGTGAGCAAGACCCTGGGTATTAAAATAAATTCATTAGGCAGGTTCAAAGATCAATGTGGATTGATGATACCAACTGACTCTAGAAAAGATTTGGCATAGTGCAAAAAGCAAGCATTTTGGGGTGAGGAAGTTCTAATGCACAGGTTTTGCCACTACCAATGTGACAACAAATTCTTTAGTGTCAGATTTCAGTTAAAAAAATGTGAAAAATGAAGATAACACCATCTATTTTGCAGAGCTGTTGTAAGGATTAAATATCTGATTAATGAAGATATTATAAAGAAATAGGAAATAAATAAGCTTAGTTTATATAAAGATCACACACAAAAGAATGTTTTCCTTAAGCTGTTCCATCCTTCCTCTTTCTCTCCCTTCCTGCATATCTCCCTCTTGTTCTCAATGTTTTTCAAGACAATTTGTGAAACACCCAGCTTGTCACCACCAAAGCAAAACAACTTTTGCTGTAAATTCACAGCACATACATATCCTTTATTATATTTTGCCCAAAAAATATTAAATGCTGCCTTTTGATATTTCACAATATCAACAGAACCTAAAAATTATTTGTGTGAAATATGGCCTACATTTTATTGCTTCATAGGTTATATTCATTTCACACCAGGTTTCTTCATATAGAGATTAATTTACTGCATTGCACTTATTTCACTTAATTTTTACTTTCATTTTTTTCTAGATTTTTTTTTTAAATTTATTTGTCAAAGAGAGAGAGAGCACAAGTAGGGGGAGTGGCAGGCAGAGGGAGAAGCAGGCTCCCTGCTGAGCAGGGAGCCCGATGCAGGACTCCATCCAACTCTGGGATGATGACCTGATCCGAAGGCAGATGCTTAACGGACTGAGCCACCCAGGCTTCCCTTTCCTTTCATTTTTTCAAGTAAAAATATTAAATATTAAAACAAATTTTACAAAATATTTGATGCAATAAATTGGTTGTCACTGGTTCATGATTGCTGTAATCTTCGCTTATCTTTCTGCCTAGCTTCTCTCAGGAGATTCTTCACAAATAGCCAGTAGAAAAGAAATATGGCAAGGGGGCACCTGGGTGGCTCAGTTGTTAAGCATCTGCCTTCGCCTTAAGTCATGATCCCAGGGTCCTGGGATCGAGTCCCACAACGGGCTCCCCGCTCTGTGGGAAGCCTGCTTCTCCCACTCCCCTCGCTTGTGTTCCCTCTCTCGCTGTCTCTCTCTCTGTCGAAAAATTAAAATAAAATTAAAAAAAAAAAAAAAGAAATACGGCAAGGTTTTCTAGAACAGTCCACTAACCGTACAGTCTTTCAAGATGTGCAGGTTGCTTTTTGTATTCTTCCTGTAGGTGATCTGCCTCTTCTAGAATACAGCGATATTCTGGTATCAGAAAGTTTGTATTTCCCTCATGAACCTGCAATTCCTTATTTAAAATTAAAAACAGAAGGACTTTAATAATCAAAATCCAATCCAGTGTAACTTTAAAGTCTTTACAATTTTAAAAATCCCATCAAAATAAAGTAATGATCATGAGTCCATGAAATGCATACTTACTTTTAAAGCATCAATTAATTGCACTTTCTTAGCCAAAAGCAACTGGTACTCCAGCTTTGGGTGGATTAGCTTTAAAGTGTGTTTGACTGATACTTCATTTATCTCTAGAAGGAGGTGAGTCAGGCACAATTAGCTAAGTCACTTTGATCAGAAATATTCCTATTGTAACAATAACCAAAAAACAATACCCCATAAAGAATGATTTATTTTTCTTCTTCTTTTTTTTTTTTTTACCATATGATATGTTGAGGTTAATCTTCCTTTTAGTAGCTTCTTTAGAGAGCACATCTTTTAGGATGGATATAGTAGAAATGTTGTCAGATTTAAAAACTCCTTCTCCTTTTCTATAAAATTAATATATTTTTAAAGAACAGCATTAGAAGAAAATACATAAATAGGTCCAGTAAATACATATTTTGTGACTAGTACCTGGTGTTTAGAATTCATTTGATTTTAGGTCTCTTTCTGTACATTATTATTAATATAAAATACGTTATTAATATAAAACATTTAAATGTGTAACGTTTTACTCTTATATAAATTCAAGTTCTGAACATAATTGTGAAACTAAACAAAAGATGTTAGATATATGCCTCCTAAACATATAACAATTTATATAAATCCTTCATTAAAGCATCTTTTTTCTTCACTCTCACCAATAAAATTTCTAACAGCTAACTCCATATGTATATAAAATGCTTTTAGAATTGCTTATTTACATATAAGTATGTTTTTCTATGTAATCACATAAATTATAACATGACTACATTCTTTATTCTCAAAAGAAAGCTGATATTAAGCCTAAGAATGACAGCTTCTGTTCTTCCATGCCCATCATCCATTGCCACTTCTTATGGACACAGGACCTGTCATCTTCTTTATAGAACCACTTCTTTCTCTTACCCTTCTCAATCCATATACAGTTGATCCTTGAACAATGTGGGGGGTGGGGTGCCAAACCCTGTAGTCAAAAATCCGCATATAACTTTGGACCCCCCAAAAACTAGTAATACCCTAGTAAACAGTCGATCAACACATATTTTGTGTTAAGTATTATATACTATATTTTTACAGTAAAGTTAGAGAAAAGAAAATGTTAAGAAAATCATAAGAGAAAATACATTTACAGTACCGTATTTATTTAAAAAATCTACATATAAGTGGTCCCATGCAGTTTAAATCTGTGTTGCTTAAGAGTCAACTGTAGTTTCACTGGTAGTGGCCTCAAGCCCATTTGTGGGACTTTAAGAGAAAGCATTTAGCAGTGTATATTCCATCTTCCTGACCACAATGGTTCACGGCTCTACAATGACACTCAGTTCTGGGATTTTATTGGAACCAGTGGGAAAGAGAGGGTCTATGATACCTGAAAACGTAGAAAACTGGACGGAACTGCTGGTAGCCACTATGGTACTTAATAAGAAAGCCAAAAAAAGACAAGAACGGAGCTGAGCAATGGAAAGGGATGGTCTTATTTTTTTTTTTTTAATTTAAATTCAATTAATTAACATATAATGTATTATTTGTTTCAGGGGTACAGGTCTGTGATTCATCAGTCTGATATAATACCCAGTGCTCATTACAACACATACTTTCCCCAATGTCCACCACTCAGTTACCCCATCCCTCCACTCCCCTCCCCTCTAGCAACCCTCAGTTTGTTTCCTCTGATTAAGAGTCAATAATAGTTTGTCTCCCTCTCTGGTTTTGTCTTATTTTGGAAAGGGATAGTCTTTGTTGTGCCTGAGGCAGATTACTACTGGACTTTTAAATTATATGAGCTGATAAATTCCTGTTATTCAGTATGTTGGTCTGCTTCTATTTGGTTCCTTCTTATGATAACCAAAAGTTTCCTAATTAATATATATACCATTTTTCATATATTAAATGATATCTTTTCATTTGGTTTTCACACACACTAATAGTTTATATTAACTAGCTGTAGACAAATGCTAATTCATTTTTTCTAGGAAGATGATTCATATATATTATTTTGATTCCAATTATGTTTTAGAAATCATGATATTTTCACTAGTCTTTAATTTTAACTGATGATGTTTAATATTAAACACACAGTACCTAGCACTGTGGAATGATTCACATGGTTTATCTTCTTTTAATCATCACAGCTCAATGAAGTGCTTTTATTGCCATCCCTCAGAAAAGAAAACTGAAGCTCAGAGAGTTAAATAGTCCAGATAGGGCAAATAGATGGTAAGTCACAGAGCCATGATCAAACCTATGTATGTCTGCCTCCAAAGCACACTTTCTCCATATATATGTATTTTATTCAGGCACTCTAAAAACATTTATCAAGCACCACTATGTTCAAAGCCATGCAGTAGGTAGTTGGAGGAAACATATGAAGATAATTAAGAAACTGACTCTGCCCATGAGGAGCTTAAAGTCTAATTTGAAGAGACAAGCTTACATAAAAATTACTATATACTTCAAATAACAATAAATAACCTAAGACAGGTAGGAAGGTTTCAAAATGTAGCTATTGAGTTGAGCCTTGGAGGATAAGTAGAGTTTTGATTGTTTTTTAAAGGGATTTTATAGCTTTATTTTTATTTATTTTTTTAAAGATTTTTATTTATTTATTTGAGAGAGAGAGAATGAGACAGAGAAAGCATGAGAGGGGCGAGGGTCAGAGGGAGAAGCAGACTCCCCGCTGAGCAGGGAGCCCGATGCGGGACTCGATCCCGGGACTCCAAGATGATGACCTGAGCCGAAGGCAGTTGCTTAACCAACTGAGCCACCCAGGCGCCCAATATAGCTTTATTTTTTTAAAGATTTTTTTAAAATTTATTTATTTTTGAGAGAGAGAGAGTGCACAAGCCGGGGGAAGAGCAAACAGAGGGAGAAGCAGGCTCCCTGCTGAGCAAGGAGCCCGATGCAGGACACTTATAATCATAGCAGACAATTCAACACGCCCCTGGCATATTGTGTATTATTATAATAGCATACCTTTGCTCTTTCCCATTCTGTGTCTTTAAATAGTCTTTCCTTAACAATCAAAGCTCAGGTCATGATCTCAATGCTGGGATCATGACCTGAGCCAAAGGCAGATGGTTAATGGACTGAGCCACCCAGGCATCCCTGTAGTTTTGATTGTTAAGGAAAGACTATTTAAAGACACAGAATGGGAAAGAGCAAAGGTATGCTATTATAATAATACACAATATGCCAGGGGCGTGTTGAATTGTCTGCTAGGTTAAAGTGTGGGGTTTACTGTTGATGCAGGATAGTTGGAAGGCTGGCAGGCAGGGACAAGTTCCCCCCACCCCAAGAGGAAACCACCCTTAAAAAGAGTTTACACCACCCTGGAAGGAGCTTTCCACCCTTTCCCATATGACAGGTGACAAAAACCTGACTGGATGACAGGTACAGGGAGGGTTAATCAGATTAAAACAGCCAGTCTCAAGAAGCCCATAAAAACCCCTAGACTTAGAAACTCTGGTGGCAACCCCCTTGGATCCCCTCCCTCCTTGGGAGCTTTTGTACTGTCACGTTGCTATCATTCAATAAACTTCTGCTTTGTTTCCCATCACTCTTGGTCTGGTCTACCTCTTCCATTCTTTGAAGCAGTGTGACCAAGAACCATGGGCACCCACAGAGAAAAAAAATCCTGTAACACTGCGGTACCTGAAAACAGGAGTCATTGTTACAGGTTTAGACACATGTAAGATCCCCTGAAGGTTTTACAGTAAGACACCTTCAGAGAACTGATGCAAAAAAACAGTTATATTTCTGGAGACTTCTTGATCTCAAAAGGCTGCATTCTGAGGTAAAATTATGTGTTCACTGCTATTTCCAGAACTTAGCATGGTAAAGTCTCACCTAGGAAGCAAGAAGTAGAATACCTCAATAATCTGCTTAGGGAAAGAATCCTAGACAAGAAGCTCCCTCTTCTCCAAACAAAATAGTAAAAACAAAAAAAAACGCAAAAGGCGAAACAAACCTACAGATGTGAGAAAGAGAATGCAAGCACCTTAAAGAAGTATGAGGGCAACCCTCTCGAGTCCCCTCCCTCTTTGGGAGCTTTGTACTATCACTCAATAAACTCTGCTTTGCTGCCCACCCAAAAAAAAAGAGGCGCCTGGGTGGTTCAGTCGGTTAAGCAACTGCCTTCGGCTCAGGTCATGATCCCAGGGTCCTGGGATCCAGCCCCGCATTGGGCTCCCTGCTCAGTGGGGAGTCTGCCTCCCACCCCCCGCCATGGTCTCTTGTGCCCACGCCCTCTCTCAAATAAATAAAATCTTAAAAAAAAAAGAGGGTACAAGTTCAAAAGCAGACGGAAAAATTAGCCTTACCCAAGAAGTAGGTCATTTCACATTCAGAGAGAGGAACAAAGGAGAAGGAAAATTTAGCCTCTACTCTATTCAGAAACAAATTATGGAAGCCTATGGGAGATGAGTAAGTAGTGATAGTGAAGGGGCAGGAGTGCAACTAGGAGCTTAAGAAGAGTGTAGAAGAATATGACCCCCACCTTTTAACACGATAGCTTCAAAAGCCCGTATGTTCTAAATTCTCAAGTTCTGAGCCATTTCCTATTTTTACATAAAGAAATTTAACTGGAATTTTTATTGTTATTAGAATGTTTGAAACAATTTGGGAAGGACTGCCATGTTTACAATGTCTTCATATTGATGACTACAGAATATATTACTCCATTTAATCAAGTCTTATGTCAATAAAATTTTAGTTTTCTTCATGTAAGTTCTGCATATTTCTAATGAATATTCCTACAGATTTTTATATGGATATTTTGTTATTATTGCTACTCTGAAAGGGTCTTTTCAAATAGTTTATTTTCTAACTGGTTATTGTTGGGAATAGGAAAGACTGATCTTTCATACTCATCTTTATTCAATCATTTTTAAGCTCATTAATTCTACTTGTTTTTCAATGGATTCTTTTGAACAGTATAGGTTTTTAATCACATTATTTTCAAGTTATTCCTGCCTTAAAACAAAAATTAGAAGTTCCATTTATATAAAAACACTTGCGAACCAATAATAAGTTTTATTTACCTGTAGGTACTTTCAAGTTGTGTATCCAGGAAGGTGTTCTGAAAGTAAAATGTCACACATTCTCCTGCTGGAGGTTTTTCAGGAACTTCAGGCAAGCAAAAAACCACCCAGGAGTGAACTTCAGCAAAACTGAATTGGCCCGTTAAAGTCAGTGTATTCATGGGTCTGAAATTTAATGGTGGAGGTACGCATTTGTGTGTGGGAATACGTGGAGGTAATTTATATACACAACACATGAACAAACAGAATTCTGCAATAGTGGTTAAACAAATATAAAAGTATCCATTTAATTTTCCTCAGATTAATATTAACCATCAGATAACTAAAAATTTCAATTTCATGGAAAAAAGAATGCTTATATCTGTGCTTTTAATATTCAATTAAGTAACATAATAGCTTTACAAATAAAATTCAGTTTATCCAGGTAGACTTCATTTTTTAAAAGTTCATCTATATAAACTATAAAACGTACTTACACAAGAATTTCCTGAGGGAAAGAATCAGCATAATGTGAAGGCAAAGAATTGGGCTTTCAAGTAAAATAGACATGGAACTGAATGAAACCTTGCTCCATTATTTACCAGCTGTTTACTAACTCTGAGCCATTGGGCAAGTTGGAGAAAAATACCTGCTATCTTGCAGGGATATGGAATAATGCTTTCTATTTTGCAAAACCACACATAGATATATGCACATATACACAAAAGGCTGTAAAATAAATAAATTTAAATAAATCAAATGGATAATTATAAACAGTTAAGAAAATGCAAAGTTTAAGGGATTAAAGATTCAGAGGAATTTTAAGAAGATACAGAATTAAGGAATCTAAGAACTAGAAGGGACTTTTGAGATCATCCAGATCAACCCTCTCATGTGCAGATAAGAAAACTAAAACCCAAAGAGATTAAGTGCTTTCCCCAAAGCTAAAGAGGAACAGTAGATAAGATACAAGATAAGAATCTTAGTCTCTTGATTCCCAGTTTGCTGTTCTTTCCAGCACACCATGCATGCTACCTCCACTAACAACAACTTAGACTTCAAAACAGGAAGATACCACAAAGAGAATCTATTCTTTCATGTTTTCCAAAAATCTTCTCTATAAATATTTTCCCTTACATCTTATTTAAATTACATATCTTTAAAATTACAAACTGCAATAGAAAAAACATGGGCTTTGGCCTCCAATCATAACTGTTTCCTGTCAGCAAGTTACTTTTCCAAGCCTCCATTTCTCATTTGTAAAATGGAGACATTACTACCTGTCTTGCTTGCTGTCAAACTTAAAGGATAATGCCATGCACCTAGCACAATGTACAGCAGAGGGGAAAGTATTCAGCAATTGTTACTTCTTTCCCTTCTTCATTTAAGCCCATGGCCTCTCATCTTTAGAAAAGAAAGTGAAAAACTACCAACAGGAGGATGCTTAAGTTGGAATGGAAGTCAGAAATAAGGGACTATCACAACCAATTGCTTTACCAGTATTCCCTGAGGTGAAATAGAAAGCAAATATAATGTTTGAGGCTAATATTATAAAATCCTATTCACAGAAAAATTCATGCTAAATCCTATTTATTCATCACAGGTGTTTGGGAGAGAGAACTATTATTCTACTGATATCAGAATGGTAATATATGAGAAAGATAGGAAAGTTCAACTCAACCAACCATTAAAAGACAAATTTTATATTAAAAATATGAATCCATACTATTTAATTTTTAAAATGTATAAATAGCTACCAGAATTTATACTATAAAAATCAAAAGCAAGTTTATTTGCATCACGTAATATCCTAAAAAATAAATTCCTTCCTCCTTTGTCCTACCTGTCATGATCAATAAAGTGAGTTCTTTGATGGAGTGAAAGGGGTTTGATAAGGTATTGGCGGACCTGACAGGTTTTAGGTTGAATCCTTGGAGTCACATATGCTTGAAGTGTGCCATACTGGCCTTCAATTGAACGAATCTGATTTAACACAAAAGAGAAAAGAAAATAAAAATAATCTAGCAGCATAACATAAATGTTATCTTTAAAATGTTCAACACAAGTAATCAAGTAATTAGACTTTACTCTCTTCTCTAATATTCTGAAGTAAATGACATTCTATTAAACAACTACTTTTTACCTAGAGTAAAGAAAAATTTAAGAAGATTTTGGCTGTCAAAAGCAAACTTAATCTATAAAAGTTATCCCCACCACATACATTTAGGTGATTTGTCTACACTTAGCTGTGCTATGGCATTCCAAAAAACACACATTCTCACATACTACCCACCACATCTAAAAACACAGGTGTATAAATATATTTCATAAGATTCACATAAAAAATGGTTAAAATTTAGACATTTTTGCTGAGGGGATAAGTGAGTTTTTCAAAGAACTAAAATGGAATACTTCATTTCTCATGATATTACAACATATAGTTATTGTTATAAAAAATGTATTGACAGAGCGGTGCCTGGGTGGTTCACTTGGTTAAGCGTCTGCCTTCATCTCAGGTCATGATCCCAGGGTTCTGGGATTGAGCCCTGTATTGGGCTCCCTGCTCAGCAAGGAGTCTGCTTCTCCCTCTGTCCCTCCCGTGCTCTGCCCTCTCTCTCAAATAAATAAAATCTTTAAAAAAAAATCTATTGACAGAAAAATGTTACCAAGAACTTAATTCTTGATTTTCTATGAAAATAGAGAAGTATACACCATCTAATTATTACATATTTGGATTAGGAAATTCTTTTGCGCTATTTTAAATATACCCGGTTGGATATCCTGAGAATTCAAAACACTTAACAGAAAATAATAATTCATTAAACTGTGAAGAACTAATTTTAGAGGAGTTGGAAAGTTGTCCAGCTTCTCCCTCCTGGCCCATTTTCCGCTCCTCTCAGTTCGAATTCATGAGATGGACTGCAGTACCTCTTGTATTACAATGGTAGCTTCTCTAAACTAGCTGATATTTTAATTCATACTTTTCTTAGCATGTTGCGGGAGGGGGGGAATCAATGTTTTACCTAAACTGGAAACATAAATAAAAGTTTAAAGCAAGGTTTTCTGCAGATGTTACACTTCCAATATTGCTCTAAATGGAAAGAGGAAAGATAAAAATAAAAAATAAAAAATACATCTGATACAGCTATATTTTAGGGTTTCTTTTTAAAGGTAAGTTTACACTGGCACATAATTTTTTCCACAATAAAAAGTCATACTGCTTTTTTGATTATATAACAATTCATATTCATTATTAAAAAATATAAAGAAAAATTAGGATGAACATATAAATCACCTAAAATCCTGCCACCCAGAGATGATCATTAGTGCTATTTTGGTAGTTATGCCTTCATACATTTCTCTGTGCAGATGTACAAAACCAAAAGCATACTTTCAGATGAATAAATAGTATTTATATCATAGATATCTTTGTTTTATTTCTAATAATCACTTTTTTCCTTTACCTTTGTCTCTCCTAATGCCATCACCTCCCACCCACTCCCATCCCACCCACGCTTTCCCCCTATTGCATAATCTATCATACCAGACAGGTGTGTTTCTTTTCATATCTTTCTTACATAGATAGGGATTTTATCCACATTTTGTTTTTCATGGAATTCACTCCATGTTAACAGGAATAGATCAATGAATTCTTAATTGCAGCTGTGCTATATTCTATGGAATGTATAAACAGCTATTTATTCAACCATTCAATTGTTAAATATTTACTTTGGTTCCACTTTTCTGCCTCTACAAACAATGCTGCAGTTAAATACATATCTGTGTGTATAATACTGTGATTTTATTGCTATAAAATAGATTCCTCCAAATGGGACTGTTGCCTATTTTTCCTAAGTGGCTATTACAATTTTTATTTTCTTCAGCAACAATTGAGAATGTCCTTTTTCTCAACCCTGCCATCTGGTGATGTTGCTTTTTAAAACTTTTTGCCAATCTGTTAGATCCAGAAAATGTTTTTTGCTTATTTTAATTTGAATTTCCCTAACTAATAATAAGATAGAACATTTTCTTTTAATATTTGTTAGCTATTTTGACTCCTTGTGTGAACTGTCTATCCATATTGTTTGCCTATTTTCCTTACTGGGTAGTCTTTTTTTTTTATTTTTTAGCAAGTTATAGGCAGTCTTTGTATTTTATTGATATTCACCCATTACCCAGAAGACAACTAAATTTCCTTCTTTTTAAAAATAATTAGGTACTTAACTCATTTAAATTTATTTTTTATATATGACATTAAGAATCCACTTTTCTTTCAGACAGATGCCAATTGTGTCAACACCAATTTTTAAATAGTAATTTAATAGAATTATTTTTTAAAGATTTTACTTATTTACTTGACAGACAGAGACACAGCGAGAGAGGGAACACAAGCAGGGGGAGTGGGAGAGGGAGAAGCAGGCCTCCCCGCGGAGCAGGAAGCCCGATGTGGGGCTCAATCCCAGGACCCTAGGATCATGACCTGAGACGAAGGCAGATGCTTAATGACTGAGCCACCCAGGTGCCCCAATAGAATTTTTTTCTACATAAAAATGCCATCCATTAAATTTCCATAAATGTGTAGTGAGCTCTATTTCTAGAGTATTCTGCTGCACTGCCTATTTACTTAGGCCCTGTAAATACCCTACGTTATTTTTATTATAGTAGTTTTATGGTACGTTTTACCATATGGCAAGGTAAGTTCCACCTTTTTCTTCTTTTTCAGTAGTTTTCTCGCATCTATTATTGCAACCAATTTTTTAAAAAAACACAGCTTTTTAATATTTTTAGGCCTACTTCCCAATTTATTGGCACAGTCTTGTTCAGTGGAAATGTAATTTAAAATGCTTAATTGAGTTACATAAAATATGTTTAAGTATATTCCTTTAGAAAAAAATTTATTCCAGTTTTCAATTTTTCTTTCAAAATACACAAAAGGGAACTTATGCAGACTAAAGTAGTTTAGAAAAAAACCTACATTTAACTGGAATTTCCTTAACTAGCTGTGAAAAAGTTATTATGTTAACAGCATCTCTCTTGAAAAAAACAGGCTTTGAGTCTGAACATCAGGAACACTGTGAAAAAAGTTATAGTCCCTAATAACCCCACACAAATTAAGTAACGAAAATAGATTTGTGTGATACAATCAGTATTTAATTATTAGGGAGATCACATTACTAAATTGCTAAAGAAAACATTAAAAGATTTTCTCTAGAATAGATGATAATAAATGACATTATTGGAAATCCGAGTGGTAGGAAAATATAGGGCAAATGCTCAGATACTTCAATAACCAAATTATGGACAATGACTGGATCAAACGAACTGTAGAAACAAATCAGTGAAATCTAAATACTAAATATTTGATGATACTAAGGAGTTTTTGTTAATTTTCCCTAGGTGTGATAATAGTATTGTGGTTATGTGTTAACAAACAGTTCTTATCTTTTGGATATATGTACAGAAATATTTACAAATGAAATTATAAAATATCTTATACTTGCTTCAAAATAATTTGGAATGGACAGTGACAGTATAAACAAGAATGCCATGAGTTGATGACTGTTGAAACTGAAGTCATTACCTTTACGTAGGTTTGAAACTTTCCATAATAGAGGATTAGAAAAAAAATTCCACTTAGAGAAAATTCAGGATGGATAATTTTAGAGAAGCCAATAGCAGACATAACGGTTGGGGCTGAGTTAAAACCTAACTGGTCATCCAAAAATCATTACTCCAAATGACTCATTTCAGGGAGAAAATAATACAAAGAAAAGATATCATATGTTGTAAGATATGCCAAGGGGAAGAGAAGTTCAAGCTTTCAATTAAAGGTAATTTCAAATGTTTTTACCTTGAGTTCCAGCCTTGTAGTATTTGCCTGGCACCGATAAGTAGCGAGAAGAAAGTTGTCATTTGACTGGGAAGAATTCAAAGTTGAAGAAAAAGGATGAATTCACGTTTTTAATAATAAAAACATCAATAATAATAATGCTTACCATTTACTAAGCACATGTCATTTGTGTGACACTGTGATGTGCTTTTTTTATTCTTGCAAACAACCCTATGTGAAGTTTTACTAAGTAAGTTTTAACAGACAAAGAAACTGCAGCATTACAAGTTAGGAAAATTTCCCAAAAGCTAGTAAGTAATGAAATTGGAATTCAAATTCATATCTTTTAAGATTCTAAAGCTCACGCTCTTTCCATCCTGAGCTTCTACAATAACATTTAAATATTAATTGTCCTAAAAAGTTAACTGACAGCACACACTCCTAACGTTTATATTAAAAGACAAAAACATCCATGTTTGGTGTTGACTGTCTTTGACTTTCACAAATACTTTTAGAGGACTAAGAAATATCTCCTCTCTGTATTTCCAGCAAATAGCACAGTGCCTGGGATGATACTGTAAGCATTCAATACATGCTTGTTGAATTAAATTGGAGAGGTTACTTCAAATATTATAACTTCCTGAACCTGAATATTAAACTACTAAAAACAGAGAAATAATCTGTGTGCAGGAATTGCAAAAACAAATCAACTTGAAATATTTAGTATTCAGTGTTCATGTACTGCTATTTCCCTATTTTTAAAAAATAACTGAAGAAATAAAAAAGATGATAAAAAGAAAATTTGAGCATTTTAATTTCAAATCATTTAAATTTAATAAACACTGAATATCAGTCAACCTAAAAATAAATATGCTTTCATGTGATTAAAAACAAATGTTATATACTTAAGTATTTATGGATAGGATGATAAAGATTAAAATACATGAAAGTTCTGGGATTAGGTTTGGGATGGGAGAAGGAGAAGAGCATAAAACAAGACTGGTCATATGTTGAAGTTAATGATGAGTACATGTAGGTTATTATACTACTGTTTCTACTTCTATATATACTTGAAATCTTCATAACAAGGCTGTTTTAAAGCCATCATTCTAGAAAATTGATTTTAAATTAATATAAAATACTCATTTCAGAGAATCCTGCAACGATGTAAATAAAATAGGTTAATCTTTCACAGTAACTAAGAAATTAAAATTTTAAAATCAACTTGATATTTTAAATGAAAATTAAAATGTAGGCCCTAATCTTTGTTTTATTCTCAAACAGGGATGACAAATCATATATATTACATAATACAACTTATAAAATCTCTTATCAAAAAAGTTTTACTATAAAATTATATTAAAAACTATTCCCTAATATAGCTATCAACTTTGTTCTTCACCTATTCTTTTTATTGCTCCCTTTTTATGTGCATAACTACCTGCCAACTCTAGTCACCATCTCCTGCTCTGGCTTGCCTTCTTCAATACAACTACTCCGGACCTTTTCTTTACCCTAACTTCTCTTCAGGAGCCACACTTAGCTCTGAGAATGCTAGTCAGCTAGTACTAAGCAGAAAGAAGTGATATAGTATAGTGATATAGTAAGCATATCCAAAACCTCTGACACACTCTCATCCAAGGTACTTTGCACATGGTAAGTACTCAACAAATGTCTACTAAATAAAGGTTAAGCAAGATTCAACAAGCCCAGAAAAGGTGAAAAAGAACAGGCAGAAGGAACAGACCATGTTCAAATGTAGGATGTGTGAAACTATACAGCATTTTCAAGAAATTTTAAGAACTTCAGTTTGGCAGAAATAATGTGCATGGGAGGGAAGGTAGCAGCTGGTAAGAGATAAGCTAGAGATATAATCAAGAGCTGAATCATAGAAAGTTGTTATGCCACAATGAGAAATCTAGACTTATATGCAGCAGGGAATAAGGAATCTTTAAAAGGTTTTGAGAGAAGAACTGACAGAGAGATGTTTATACTTTAGGAAGATCTCTCTGGTGGCAGTGTACAGCAGAGCCTAGAGGTGAGAGGCAATAGTGGAGGCAAAAAACTGGTGACAAGTAGTTCAAGCAAACATGATAAGGCCCTGGAAAGTTAACAGAAGTGGAAATGAAGGGGCGCCTGGGTGACTCAGTCCATTAAGAGTTTGCCTTCGGCTCACGTCATGATCTCAGGGTCCTGGGATGGAGCCCTGCATTGTCGGGCTCTCTGCTCAGTAGGGAGTCTTTGCTTCTCCCTCTCCCTCTATCCCTTCCCTTGCTTATGTTCTCTCTCTCTCTCTCTCTCTCTCAAATAAATAAATAAATAAATAAAATCTTAAACAATAATAAAAATAAAATAAAATAAAAGAAGTAGAAATGAAGCAGAGGAAAGATATAAGAGCCAAGGAGATAGAACTGGCAGAAACTAGTGACTAATTGGATTTAACAGATCAGAGAAAGGAAGGAATCTAGGATAACACCCCAGGTTTCTGGATTATCCAAAAACAGGGAAAAAGAGCAGAAGCAGATTTTCAGGGAAAGGTTATGAAAAAGAGATAGAAGAAGAAACATCAAACCCTAGTAGCATTTACAGACTTTATTCAAAATGGCATAATAGAAAAAGTATCTGAAAAGTTGTTTATACATTCTACTCACCTCAGAATCACAGCTGCTAAAGCTGACAACAGCAGAATTTTTATCCACATCAAGTAAATCTATTGGAACATCACTCTACAGGCAATATTAAAAAAAAAAAAATGGTTCAGATGGGAAACTAAAAATTTTCACAAAATATTATTTTCTCTTAAAGATTTTATTTATTTGAGAGAAAGAGAGAGAGAGCACGAGAGCAGGGTGAGGGGTAGAGGGAGAGGGAGAAGCAGGCTCCCCGTTGAGCAGGGAGCCCGATGCAGGACTCAATCCCAGGACCCTGCGATCATGACCTGAGCCAAAGGCAGACAATTAACCGACTGAGCCACTCAGGCGCCCAACAAAACATTTTCTTTAAGGGTTCTCCTTAGTTCTAGTTCATGGTCATCTTTAAATTTGAACATATGAATTCTCAGTTTATATTTGATAATATGTACTTCTAGAAAATAAATGCAATAAAGAATAAATGGTATATCACAATGACTTATTTTTTTTCAAATTTTATCAGAGATCACAGACTATCATCTCCCACCACCCCCCTTAAAGTATAATCTTCCTAATATGGCCATTCTGATTATATCAGTTCATTTTGATCAATTTTATTTTCACCTGTAACACAGAAAGGAGATAATTTTTATCTCCTGGAGAGGTAGTTTCTAGGAAACAGCTGTTGCACCCAGTTCTATGTAAATGATGCTCCTAGAGTTATTAAATGCAGCTCTTTTTATTGTTATGTTAATCACCATACATTACATCATTAGTTTCTGATGTACTGTTCCATGATTCATTGTTTGATTATAACACCCAGTGCTCCATTCAGTACGTGCCCTCTTTAATACCCAACACCAGGCTAACCCATCCCCCCACCCACTCCCCTCTAGAACCCTCAGTTTGTTTCTCAGAGTCCATGGTCTATCATGGTTCGTCTCCCCCTCCAATATCTCCCCCTTCATTTTTCCCTTCCTACTAACTTCTTTTTTTTGTTTTTTTTTGTTTTTAACATAAAATGTATTGTTTGTTTCAGAGGTACAGGTCTGTGATTCATCAGTCTTAAACAATTCACAGTGCTCACCACAGCACATACCCTCTCCAATGTCGATCACCCAGCCACCCCATCCCTCCCACCCCCCACCACTCCAGCAACCCTCAGATTGTTTCCTGAGATTAAGAATTCCTCATATCAGTGAGATCATATGATACATGTCTTTCTCTGATTGACTTATTTCGCTCACCATAATACCCTCCAGTTCCATTCACGTTGTTGCAAATGGCAAGATTTCATTCCTATTGATGGCTGCATAATATTCCATTGTATATATATACCACTTCTTTATCCATTCATCTGTCGACAGACATCTTGGCTCTTTCCATAGTTTGGCTATTGTGGACATTACTGCTATAAACATCAGGGTGCATGTACCCTTCAGATCACTACATTTGTATCTTTGGGGTAAATACCCAGTAGTGCAATTGCTGGGTCATAGGGTAGCTCTATTTTGAACTTTTTGAGGAAACTCCATACTCTTTTCCAAAGTCGCTGCACCAGCTTGCATTCCCACCAACAGTGTAGGAGGGTTCCCCTTTCTCCACATCCCCGCCAACATCTGTCGTTTCCTGACTTGTTAATTTTA